GCTCTGGTAGCATAGTGCCTAAGGCACTTGACTGCTAACCAGAAGGCTGGCAGTTCAAACCCACCAGCCACTCCTCGGAAGGAAGGTTGGGCAGTCCTACTTCTGTAGTGATACTGTTTCGGAAACCCAAGAAGGGGTCGCTATGAGTCAGGGCCGACTCGAAGGCACATAACAACAACATATATAAATGTGGGAGCTCTGGTAGTGTGGTACCTAAGGCTTTTGACTGCTAACCAGAAGGCTGGTCGTTCAAACCTACCAGCCACACCTCAAAAGGAAGGTTGGGCAATCTACTTTTGTAGTGATGCTGCCTCGGAAACCCAAGGAGGGGTCACTATGAGTTGTCTCTGACTCAATGGCGCTGAGTTTTAGATATATAAATGCAAAAAAAACCCAGTGTCATTGAGTTGATGTTGACTCCTAGCAACCCCTATTGGGTTTCTAAGGGTATAAATCTTTACAGAAGTAGATTGCCTCATCTTCCTCCCATTGAGCAGCTGGTGGGTTTGAACCACTGACCTGGTTAGCAGCCAAATGTCTTTACCCACTATACCAGTAGAGCTCCTTCATATCTATATTTAGAGATACTTACTTGCATATAACCAAAACCAAACCAAACTCACTGCCATTCTGATTCATAGCAACCCTGTTGGGTTTCCAGGGCTGAAAATCTTTACAGAAACAGACAGTCTCAACTTTCTCCCATGGGGTGGTTGATGGGTTCAAACCACTGAACTTTAGCATTAGCAGCCAACTGCCTTAACCACACTACACCACCAGAGCTCCCTTATTTATCTATAAATACAGACAATATAGATATATATAGTCTGTCAGTTTGTTGTGCTGTGGTGGTTTCCATGTCGCTATGATGTCAGAAGTTATGCCACTAGGGACAACTATGATGGACAGATTTTAGTGGAGCTTTCAGACTAAGATACACTCAGAAAAAAGGCCTGGCAATCTATTTCTGAAAATTAGCCACTGAAAACCCTCTGGATCACAACAGAATATTGTTTGATACAGTGATGGAAAAGGAGCCCATAGGTTGGAAGGCACTCAAAATACTCAGTGGCCACAACAACAGACCGGAGCATCTCAATGACTGTGAAGATAGTGCAGGACTGGGCAACATTTTGTTTGTTGTACATGGGATCACAGGAGTTGGAGACGACTCAACAGCAGCTAACAGTAACACTGTCTTGTAGGTTCAAGTCTGCTTTTGCTGCTTCCATTATTGATTTGCTTCAGTAATCATAGTATATACTTCATTACACTTTATTTTCATCTCTGTATTCCTGGGGACTGCCAGGGAAATGAACAAATCAGTCTTAGAAGAAATACAACCAGAATGCTCCTTAGAAGCAAGAATGGTGAAACTCTGGCTCCCTTACTTTGGATACATCGTCAGGAAAGACCAATTACTAGAAAAAGGACATCATGTGTGGTAAAGAGTCAGTGACCACGAGGAAGATGGACTGATATAATAACCACAATGGACTCAAATATACCAATGACCAAGAAGACAACATAGGCCTGGTTGGGTTGGAGTTGACCCATGGCAGCTAAGAATTATTAATAGTTATAGTGTCTTCTCTTAACTTACTGAGAATTCAAAGTATCTTTCTAAATTTTTCTTCTTTCATGCAATAAATCTATTTCAGGTGGACAATTTACCTCCAAGCTCATGTTTCTTCTTCTTCCCTTCTTTTGCAAATGTCATAGAATTTGCTCTCTTCTGTTTACTCATTCTGAGCTTCAGTGATTTTTCTCTTGAGAAATTAGGTCCAAAGCATCCCTCTGCATAAAAGGGAGACTTCTGGGCCCAGAGTCAGTGAGCAGACTGGGGGACCTGGGGGAAGTCTGCTGTGGTCTGGAGCCAGAGGACAAGCTGATGTCATTCTAGGTCCCATTCTTGCCTTGCAAGCGTGGATTAATGCAGAGAAACTTAGCCATTGGCAGGACTTGGTGGTGAAGACTCGGTGAGTGGGGAGCAGCCAGCAGAGGCTATCAGCATGCTGCACGGACCACAGCAGATTTTCCGTGTTTATTCTGGAGAGATTTCTGATGCTTGTGCAGTGCTAAAAGATTGGGTCATACAAACCTAATTTGTTTTGTTTTGTTTTATAAATGTAGAATCTGGAGACTAAAAGAAACCAGCAAATAAAGCAGAGCGCTGGGAATCCTGCGCTCAGGCAAAAGAAAGAACAACACTGGGAACTATTTGTGCTTCGGATGATGCACAAGTTTCACGTCTGCTGTGCTGGTTTTAGATGTATAAAAATAAACATACCAAAGTGAGAGACTTCTAGGGAGTTAAGCTTGTCCAACAGTATCTTTATGACAAGTTCATCTGGAATACTTTGCCCACGGGCCAGCATCGTTTGCAACTAAAAAGAAGCATAGATGTTATATGTTATTGTTGAATATATCTGTGATACAGGCCTATTGTATCACAATGACTCTGAAATTTATATTTGCTTACCATAACTCCTGTTTCAGTTTTAGCAGCAATATGTTCTTCCAAAACTGGTAAAGCTAAATAAACCATGAATTCAAAAATATTAGCTCAAACTGGCATTAGGGCTGCCAAATTAACAAATATATTTGAGTGTTTTGCAATTGGCAACAAAGATTAAAATTTACATATCACTTTGGAGTTTACAAGGGGCTCTGGTGGATTAGTGGTTAAAGCATTCGGCTGCTAACCAAAAGGTCGGAGGTTTGAACCCAACAGCTGCTCTGTGGGAGAAAGATGAGGCAATCTGCTTCTGTAAAGATTTATAGCCTGGGAAACCCTGGAGTAGAAAGTTCTGTTCTGTCCTATAGGGTCAATATGAGTGGGAATCAACTCAGTGGCAGTGGGTTTGTCCTGGTTTCTGGGTTTACAAAGCACATTTATACACATTATTCCATTTAAGTGTAAGCAAAGTATGAGGCAACAGAATGTACTCCACAGTGCATTTGTCTCTACCACCTGCAGCCAAAGGATCTTGGGGATGCTAACTTCCTAAACATTGCTGCACACTGGATGCATGTTACCTGTCTAGTACACAAGAGAATGGGAGGGTGAAATGAGGTGGTGTGTATGACGATGAGCTATCGATTTTTTTATAATAAAATGTTGGGGGAAGAAATAATACTTACCTTCAACACGAATACATTTCCAGGCCTGGGCTATCTGACGGGCTAATGTTGTTTTCCCAGTCCCCTTAAAAAGCAGAAATGTTATTTAAAACCCAAAAAACAGTCATTTATCATATACTAGTGAAACAGAGATCCCAACTTTAAAGGTTCTATTGGTTACCATGACATCAGTCTTATTAAGTCAATTTTTTCCTTACATAATAGTAAAGAGTATACCCTAGACATTCAGAGCTTTGCTTTCTCTACTAATTGTTGCATATGCCACATCTCATGAAGTGATCTGAATAATTTTTTTTACATTAAGAAGATAGCCCTGAAATCAGGAAGCTATACCATAATCATATTGTATTCTTTGTCAAGAGTTTGCTATAACATTTCTTTGTAACTCAGAAATATTCACTAAATGATTTGTGATTGTACTGAGATTCACTATTTTATTCCCTTCATAAAGTTTATAATCATGATCTTTAATATGCTTCCATTTAGGAATTTTCAAGAGCAAAAAATTCCTTCTTAATTTATGTTTCTGGAAAGTATCATGTTTTAAATATAAAAGATTAGTGTCATGAAGTAGCATTTGTATCTGGTTGTTTGTAATGCTTACTTTTAAAACTGAATTATGTTTGTGAACACAATGACACTTATTAAAACAATTTCTTGGTACCTATCCCAGGATCTATGTAAAATTAAGTCAAGAGATCCAGCCCTCAGTCTATGCTATCCAAGGATGTCCCTTTAAGAACAAGTTGAGGCCTTCTAATGGTTAACTACTAACTAGTTCAGTGGCTGAAAATAGCTCTTGACCTAGAAGTCCTTACTAGAAATGCCTAGAAAGGCAAGCCCTCACGCAACAGCCATTTTTTATTTCTCCCTGTTTTGTGGAAAGACAGCGTGTATGTTGGCTGACACACTGGAGGTGAAGAGTGAAGGTATGTTGCTTCTGGTATCTTTAGGTATTATTAATAGGAGAACCTCCCAGCTGTCTAGACAGCCTAGCAAAACATTTAAAAGGTTTTATAGGTAAACCAAGTCTGAAATAACCCTGGATCACACACTACTAGTAATTATCATCATGGTGCAGTGATTTCTTCATAATATATATATATACATATACATATATATACACATAAGTGCTTTCTATATATACATATATATAAATAAGCTCAATACAATGTAGTTTCCTTTTTCAATTATAGCCTTATAAGAGAGAGAATTAGGAATTTACTATGAATATTTTATCAGTTCTTAATTAAATAATTAAAATTTAATAAACACTCCAAAATAACCCCCCAATTTAGCACATACGTGGTTTTCATTCTTGGATGGTAACTTATAAGAGCAAGATTTTCAAATGAATATACTAAATAATAAGTTAGAAGAGACAACTTACTGGCTTTCCAAATATGATAAAGCAAACAGGTTTGGACAACAGAAAATGTTTTTCAGCTTCATCTTCATTAAATATGTCCACAAAAGGATATTCTTCAATGTTCTCTTGGGAAGCCATTTTTATAAAACACTGCATAAGAAAGAGTAACATTTTTAGAGTGCTTAATTTGGTTGGAGCACGCAGCCAGGCTAGGGAGAACTATAATAACCTGCGAATTTACACAGCCCAGAAGCATTCCATACCATGAAACACCTGGGTTTTGTCAGTAATTACAAATAAGATAAACTCATCTGTTAAAACAATAATAGCTCTTAGTTTGAGAGCAAAATGAAAAAAAAAAAAAAATCCAAATATATACTGTATAAAAGACACAGCTAAAACAAAGTGTTTCTGAAAGATTAAAGTATATATATATGTATATTTATGCATATATGTATAAATATAAATATACACACACATTAGTGTGTTATATTTACCAAACCAAACTCATTGCCATTGAGTCGATTTTGACTTAAAGCAATCCTCATTGGGTTATCCAAGGCTGTGAAATCTTTATGGAAGCAGACTGCCTAACCTTTCATCTGTGGAAGCAGTTGGTGGGTTCAAACCATCGACCTTCTGGTTAACAGCCCAATGCCTTACCTACTGCACCACCAGAGCTCCTTATGTTATATTAAAGGTCAACATAAAGTGAAATATATATGCATACACACATTCATACGTGTGTATGTATGTGTTTATCATTAACCTACCTGAACACAATCTTCTATCCATTTCATTTTTTCCATATAGGTCCTCAAGTACCATTTATTAAAAAGTCTGTTGTTTCTCCATTGATCTACATTACTATCTCTATCATCAATTCAGTTTCAGGATTCTCTTCTGATTCATTGGTCAATATACCAATCCTTGAATTGGCAACACGCCGACTTGATAAGAAGTCATAATACCTAGAAGGACAGGTCACCCACCTAATTATTCTTTAAGATAACTGCAGTGTAGTAAATTACTTAGTGTGGCTTTTCTACCCATAAGTCTTTGTAAACTCCAAGGTGGGATTTTCTATGAGCAACTGAGGAGCTCCTGATTGCTGAAGTTGTCCACCTGGAGTATTTCTGCTGGGCGTGGCACAAAACAATGTTCTGGGAGGTGCCCACTCTCTCTCAGGTGCTTAGAGTTCTGATGCTATGATTGGCTAGTTTGGCCACTCTGCCGGGCTCAAAAGGACGTCTCCTAGAGGCAGAACGCTCTTTGACTGCTGGTTGAGGAAGACGTGCTGCCGAAAGAGACACACGCGCCCCTGAAAGAGACACGTGCTGCTGGGAAAGAGACGCAAGAGACACGCATTGCTGAGTGAGACACCTAGGGACCAGTGCTGCTGGGAAAGGGACTGTGAGAGACTGTTGGCTGAGGGACGGTGGGCTGGGAGAGAGACTGAGCATTCTTCCTGAACTTGAGTTGTAGCCTGGTGCTTCCCTAATAAACCACATAATCTGTGAGCTCTGTGTGGCCACTGCAGCCAATTATCGAACCCAGGAGAGAGGTGGTGGGTGCTCTGGGAGGAACGGTTGGTGAAAGGGCTGGAGGGAGGCAGCATGTCTGGCCTGGCAGTAATAGGCCTTGGGTTACTGCTGGTAATCCTGTCTTCCTCTTGGAGGGTTAGAGGAGGTCAGAACATGTGGCCTCCTTGCCGTTTTAGCAATAACCTTGACTATTCTTGGCCCTGTGTCCTTTAAGATATATTTTACACTAAATTTCTCAAGTCCCATAAAAAATCCTTCTGGGAATTTGAGATTTAATCACATATAGCAGGGATTATGAGGCTGGCACAGGACTGAGCAGTGTTTTTGTTCTATTGTACATGGGGTCACTAAGAGTGGGAGCTGACTCCACGGCACCTAGCAACAATAACATAAGTCTACTAAGGACCTGTGGTGGCACAGAGGTTAGGCACTTGGCTGCTAACTGAAAGGTCACTTTCAACCCATCAGCCACCCCGCAGGAGTAATATGTGGTGGTCTGCTTCCACAAAGGTTTGTAGCCTTGGAAACCTTATGGAGAAGTTCCATTCTGTCCTACATGGCCACTATGAGTTGGAATCAACTTGAAGGCAGTGGGTTTGGGTTTGGGTTTATAAATCAATGTGAAGTAAATATAAAAGGAGCCCTGGTGGCACAGTGGTTAAAGCATTTGGCTGCCAATCAAAATGTCAGTGGTTTGAACCCATCAGCTGCTCTGTGGGATAAGGACGTGGCAGCCTTGGAAACTCTGTAGTTCTACTCTGTCTTAGAGAGTCACTATGAGTTAGTAACAAGCAACTCAATAGCAGTGGGAATATAAATTCCCAAAACAGCTGGACACCCGGACTTTAAAATGACCAGATAGCATGTCCTTCCTGTTATCTGTCCTATTAAATTAGCCTTTGTAATGAGAGAAATGATCTTAGTCTTCAGCCTTAAAGACATCATGGAAAAGTGCCTCAGTAGAGATAAGGTACACAGAGGCTAGCAAATGGTGGTGTACCAGTCAAATACAGGTGTTTTGTTTGTTTGCACATTAGTAATAAACAACATTTAAAAATAAAATTACTCAGTTTATTCATTCTTGTAAAATAAATGTTACATAAATATCTGTATTTCTGGTATCCTGTGAAACAGCGGAAGACCTGACAACACAGGACCCAGATTCCCACATTGCAATAATAGGTTAAAACTGAAGAGCCACTGGTCGCTTTAGATGGGTGCACGTGCCTCCCAGTTCACTGTAGCCCCTGTCACTCCCCAGTGATACTGCCAATGCTGAGGTGAATGTCAGCAGCTATTTTATACTGTTACTATTATTATTTTATAATGAGAAAAAAGAGAAATATTTCTTGCATTCATCTTTCCATCAAGAGTAGAAAATGAAAAGTACATTGAGGGGGCCATATGTTTCTAGATAAATGGGATATATTTCTCTCTGTGGAAGTTAAGAATATTCCTTCGGAATTAATATATGAATATAATTTAAGATGCTCTTATGAAACACAAAATAATAAAAAACATTGTTGTTGTTGTTGTTGTTGTATGCCGTCGAGTCGGCCCCGACTCATATTAAAAGATTTGAAAGGAAAAAATGTCATGACACAAAGGACTGAAATTTCAATAAACCAAAATAGTTATTATAAAATGCAAGTATCAGGGGAAAATGCATGAAAACTTTTTCCCAGAGATGGTGCATTTATTAAAGATTCTCTATTAAGTGTTTCAAACCACCACTCAACTGTTAGTTTGTCGTACTATGGTGGCTTGCGTGTTGCTGTAATGCTGGAAGCTATGCCACCAGTATTTCAAATGCCAGCAGGGTCACCCATGGTGGACAGTTTTTTCAGTCAAGCTTCCAGACTAACAAGCTTCCAGAAGGATGGGGCCATACACTTCTGAAAAAATTGGCCACTGAAAACTTTATGAATAGCTGTGAAACACTATCTGATAAAGGGCTGGAAGATGAGTCCCTCAAACTGGAAGGCACTCAAAGTACAACTGTGGAAGAGCTGTCTCCTCAAAGTAGAGTCAACCTTAATGATGTAGATGCAATGAAGCATTTAGAACCTCCATTTGCTGATGTGGCATGACTCGAAATGAGAAGAAATAGCTGCAAACGTTTATTAATAATTGGAACACGGAATGTATGAAGCATGAATCTAAGAAAATTGAGTGTTGTAAAAAGTTAAATGGAATGCATAAAAATGGATATCCTAGACATCAGTGAACTGAAATGGACTGGTAATGGCCATTTTGAATCAGACAATCATATGATCTACATGCCAGGAATGACAAAAGAAGAGTGGCATCACATTAAACATCAAAAGGAACATTTCAAGATCTGTCCTTAAGCACAATGTTGTCAGTGATAGGACAATATCCATATACCTACAAGGAAGACCAGTTAATACTAGTATTATTCAAATTTATGCACCAAGTACTAAAGCCAAAGATGAAGAAATTGAAGATTTTTACCAACTTCTGCAGTCTGAAATTGACCAAACACGCAATCAAGATGCATTGATAATTACTGGTGATTGGAATACAAAAGTTGGAACTGAAGAAGCATCAGTAGTTGGAAAATAAAGCCTTGGTGATAGAAATGATGCCAGAGACCACATGATAGAATTTTGTAAGACCAATGACTTATCCATTGAAAATACCTTTTTTTTTTTTTTTTCAATAGCATAAATGGTAGTTATACATATGGAGCTCACTAGATGGGATACACAGGAACCAGATGACTATATTTGTGGAAAGAGGTGATGGAGAAGCTCAATATCAGTCAGAACAAGTCCAGGAGCTGACTATGGACTGGATCATCAATTGCTCATATGCAAGTTCAAGTTGAAGCTGAAGAAAATGAAAATAAGTCCACAAGAACCAATTTTTTTTTTTTTTATTGTGATTTGGGTGAAGATTTACAGAGCAAATTCACTCTCGATACAGCAGTTCACATATACTTTGTCTCATGTCCTTGACCACAGTTTACCACAATGCAACAGCTCCCCTCCAACTTCCTCCCCATGGTACCACTTCCCAGTGTCCATCCCTCCATACTCTCCTGCCCCCTGAGCTGTCTCCCTGTGCATAAGCTGCCCTTCCTTCTCCCATGATTGTTCTCTCGAGGGCGTGTGTCTACTTGAGGTAAATGAAGAACCAAAAATTTGACCGTGATTATATCCCATCTGAATTTAGAGACCATCTGAAGAATATATTTGACACACTGAATACCAATGACCAAAGACCAGATGAGTTGTGGTATGACATCAAAAACATCATACACGAAGAAAATAAAAGGTCATTAAAAAGATAGAAGAGGATGAAAAGAGCAAAATGGATGTCAGAAGAGACTCTGAAACTTGCTCTTGGACAAAGAGTAGCTAAAGCCAATGGAAGCATGGATGCAGCACTGGAGGTGCTCACTCGTTTATCCTAAGAATTTAGAAGACAGCTACCTGGTCAATCAACTGCAAGACGTCCATATTTGCACCCATTCCAGAGAAAGGTGATCCAATAAATTGTGGACATTATTGAACCGTATCATTAACATCACAGATAAGTAAAATTTTGCTGAAGATAATTCAAAAACAG